GGCCACATCCGAGGGATTACCCCCCACCTCTTTGGGGGCTCGGGGATCTCCATCCTTCAGTATGCTGACGACACGCTCATCATGGTCGAAGGCTCGGAGATGGACATCACTAACCTCAAGTTCCTCCTTCTTTGCTTTCAACAGATGTCGGGCCTCAAGATCAACTTCGATAAGAGCGATGTGATGGTGATGGGATATTCCCCCTATGAGTCTGTGGCCATTGCCAACAGACTTAATTGCCGCCTGGGCTCTTTCCCCACTACCTACCTTGGGACGCCCATTAGTGACTCGCGTCTCTCTGTCGCGGACCTGCGGCCCTCCGTGACCAAGCTCCAGTCCCGGTGCGAGCCCTGGCAGGGGAGGTAGCTCTCTAAGGCGGCCCGGACTATCCTTATCAACTCATTCCTCTCCAGCCTCCTCTTGTTTCTTATGAGTTTCTACAGCCTCCATGAATCTCTCCATAAGGAGATCGCCAAAATTCAGTCCCGATTCTACTGGGATGGCGAGCATGGCAAGCAGAAGTATCACATGGTCAGCTGGCCTGACATCTGCAAGCCCAGGGAGCAGGGTGGCTTGGGCATCATGTGCTCTAGACGGATGAATATTGCCCTTCTATCCCGGTGGCTGTGGCGTATCGCGCAGGGTCATGGTGGCCTCTGGCTGGACATTATCCGGAATAAGTACCTGCGTGGTCAACCCTTTGCCTTCTGCCAGAAATCGGGCGGATCTCAGTTCTGGCAGTCTCTCGTCTAGCTTCTCCCGGTGCTCCGCATTGGTACCTCTATCTCGGTGGGGTTCGGCCTCTCGACGCTATTCTGGTTTGATCGCTGGGCCGGCGACTCTCCCTTTGCGGCCCGCTTCCCCGCCCTCTTCTCTATCTCCGTCGACCCTATGATTTCTGTTGATAGGGCCCTTCTTGACTTAGGGCACCTTGCTTTCCGTCGGCCCTTTGGGCCGGCGGAATCCGCCGCCTGGCGTGAGTTGCTTGACTGCGTTGCTTTGCATGAGCCGTTGGTGGATGGGGGTCCGGACCTTGTGCGCTGGCACTTGGAGCCGTCGGGCCAGTTCTCTACCAAATCGCTCTACCTGGCCATTGCCCCCTCCTCCGCTCCCCTCCCCCTATCGATGGTGTGGTCCGTCCGCGTCCCCCTGAAGATTCGCATCTTCATGTGGCAGTGGATCCGTGGACGGGTCCCATCCGGTGTGGAGGTCCGCAAGCGCAATGGCCCGGGCACTGGTATCTGCCTCCTCTGTGATGTTCCTGAAGACTCCAACCACATCTTCTTCGCCTGCATCTCCGCCCAGTTCCTCTGGAGCTGCTTTCGCAAGATTGTCGGTGGAAGTTGGTGCCACACCAATTTCCCGGACTTATTTGCTGAACTCCAATTGTCCCCCATGTCCTCTCGCCACATTAGGTGGCTGGAGGTTGGGGTTCTTGCCTGGACTCTTTGGACCGTTCGCAATAAGCTTGTGATCCAGCGTACTCTTCTTCGTCGCGCTACTGACGCTCTCCACAAATTCTCGGGTTTCTTGCAGCTTTGGCGGTCGCTTAGCCGTCCCTCGGACCGGGACGCCATCTCAGCCTTCATCGCCGATCTCCGCTTGATGGCCGTCCGCCTGTCACCGCCGCCCCCGCCGCCTCCGCCGGAGCCTGACTAGATTCCCTGCACTGGGCAGGCTCTGTTTTTTTCTCTTTCTTTTGGGCTTGTTGAGCTGTGCCCTCAGCAGAACCTTCGTACTTTGTTGTGATACTCGGGTGGTGTGTGTGTGTGAACCTGCTTTGGTTGTATGTCTTGTGGCGGTTTGCTTTATTTATAAAGCGGGGCGAAAGCCTTTTTCGGTATTGTGACCGCACCGCACCGTACGTGCAGCGCATGCACTCTTGATACAAAATCAGAGGATTTGCTTCTTTGCAAGTAGAGAGCGGAACTAACACGAAAGTACACCGGCGCAATACTTCGAGAGCCAGCATTTCTAGTTTCATATCAAAAGGGGACCGGAAAGGCCAAAACAAAATCAGCGAAGCATTATATATAGGAGCTTTGTTTATGCTTTTGCACAACAAGCAGGCTGAGGCAAGACGATTTTGCAAAGAACCATGTCTGACTGAAAATACACGCACATACCGGAACGAATGAATGAATGCAAATTTTGGTCTGTATATACATTCGTGCTACAAAGGAGCAATACATGAATGATTTATCTCAGGCTACAAGGACAAGCACTAACAAAGGCTATAAAGGGGAGAGAGATACATGAGATCAACCCATTAATTATCTCTTCACTATGCATTCTTGTTCCAAAGGGAAATACAGCTATATATGACTCAACTCCAGCTTCTCCCACCCTTTGCTGACTCCCCACTCAAGAAAAACAGTATCTGAAACCGTAGTGCATGGCATGGCAGACCAAATTTCTTTACAGGACCTGCGCTCCTGATTCAAACCGCCCATGTCCTTCTGAGATTCCTGAAAGCTTAGCATAGAGAGATTGCAAGCAAGTGCTCATGTGCAAACAATTATTTAAAACCTCATAGACTTAGGGCCGAGACACTTCTCACAAACTCATCAAAGTAGCAACCTAACAATCGAGCACATGCTTAAATAACAACTTTATTCATTGCCATGAGGAGAGTTCTTTTCATTTTGTGAGAGTGATCAGCAGCAACAGTATAGCTTTCAAAGCTTTCGAACACCAAGTCGCTAGGTTGTTTGACTTCAATGTCAAGAGCAAAAGGAAACAAGAGTAGCCAACAATTTTATTCCTTTGTTAACCTTCCAAGAGCAGGTGTTTAGTGAGATTGCCTCATCATGATCCAGAATTGCTCTCATCATGTAATAATAGTCCTCGCTGGCCAATGGCCATAGTGTTTCCTATCTACTTTATATTTGTGGAAAGCTTATCTGGAGCTTGGTAAGGTAATTCAAAAAAATTAGCAAATCTGAAATCTGGATTGTAAAGCTAAATAAGAGTTCAACTCCAGTACAAAGAAGGCTTCACATTCCAGTCATTGGAAAAAGTAGTGTGTCAGATGATGTGGGAGGGGATGGACTCACGCCAAAGAAATGATTGAGATGCCTATGCAATGTAAGGTTACCCAATGATGTGAGTGTTGTTCCTGTTATCAATACCTTTCGCATAGGTAGTAGGTTGATTAGCCTCACCCGCGAAAAAGGTTGATTAGCCATTTTGCACATGAATATGGAAGCGATGCTGACTATTTCTTCCAGCCTGAGGATGAAATGATCTTTTGAATGGTGGCCCTCACTCCTTTCATTCATTTGTTTGTGAGAGAGGCATCCATTTTGAGGAATATTCAATCATGAAATTTGCAGTGTTCTTCAACTTGATGTGTGTGCTTATGGAATAATCAACTACAATGGAATAGTGATAGATGTGCGATATATAAGGTAGGTATGGTGTGAACACATGGAAGAAATTGGTTTAGTTTCTCGGATTTGTATATGTACACCGGTGGAGTTTGCGGTATCCCGATGAAGGAATGCAGGGCCGAGTGTTGAAGAGGCTAGCAACCAAATGTTACGGAGAAAAATGACTGGTTTTGAAAGACTTCAGACTAGAGGAACATCAAACTTAACAATACACACTAAATATTCAGATTGCAATAACAAGGCTCATGAAATCTGCTCTGATTTTGGCATTGGTGGGATAGAAAAAATACTCCAGAACAAGAGAATGAAATCACCTTCACCATACTTAAATTGGGAGGTTCTATGAATAAAATTTAGCAAGCTCGGGCCTTTTTGCTCAATCAATGTTCATCAATCACCCAACAACAGGTGTTCTCTACCTTCACGGCTACATGTATCAGCTGAAAACTCTCTTATGTTATTTAATTCAGTATGGCAATGAATTCAGAAATTATAAGCGAGCTCAACAGCTAGACTGCCAACTTAGCAAGAATGCAGTAATTTCTCTAACCTAGGTCTCATGAGGAAATAAGAGTTTGACAATTGCACATTGAATACAATCTAGCATAGCTAAGGCAATCATGAAACCTTCCGTGGGCACGAAAGGGTTATACCTTCACAATCATGTGCCTACTGAATTGTGTTGATTCCCCAGGTTATGCCACAGACCACATCTATCAAGAAAAAATTTGTTGAGTACATCACAAATTTTGTCTAGGGAGAGACAAAGACTTTGAAATGGTATTAGCTATACAATGAACAGATTGGTTACACATACTAACCAGATTTTTGGGTTTTCATACTAGACCCTCATGTGCCACCTGCACGTGCGTGTGTGGAGAGAACTTTACAAAGCTGGAAGAATGTACAACTCCAAGATGGAGCCCTGCATATATAGTAAATAGAATAAACATTTTGATCAGACTTGAGATTGTGCAGTAATCAGGTAAACCAAATGAAGAAAATTTGACTTGACACATGGGATTAGAAAGAAGCAAGGTAAATACTATGCATTAGTTTCTACGAAAAATACACGTACCATAATTATTAGTTTCTGCTGAGAGGGAAGTGCCACTCAAGGCTTTGATGTCGGAACAGTGTGTCAATGCAGAGAATTGTACAACAACAGAAGAATTTACAACTTCATGGCTGAACCTGAATAGTATTAAAAACACGCACCATTCAGACTAATGCAATAATAACAGAAACCAAACCTGCGAAAGAATCAATGATTTGTGGTGTATGGGGTAACGAAAAAAAAACAAGGTAATTAATGGTGGGGAACTGGGGATGTACACATAACAAGGAGTATATTTTTTTGCAAGTTAGACTCTAACATTCAGCAGTCTATAACGTATACATGAAGCGAAAAATGTTCGAGAAAATCAAAACAACAAAATGCAGATCAGGAAACAATGTGTGTTTTTTCATTTGCAAACAGTGGACGGGAAATACAGCACCACAGGGTGATTAATTATGCATGTACTAACCAGTTTTACGTGAAGGATGGGAGAAACAAACTCAGACCATCATGCTTGCGCTGGTAACCTTGCTCGGAATTGTAGGAAGCTAGTAGAAGAACCCTGCGAAGTAGATTAAAACAACCCAGTCGTCTTATTAGATGAAATATAGCAGTTAACTGCGATATGAATCAAACGAAACAAAAGGAAATGGCTACGAAGTTCAGAATCGAGAAGGCAGAGGATGGAACTGGGAATGAGTACAAAAATGGAGGGGAGTGTTTGTTATGTAGTATGTACCTTGGATTGAGTAGGTTCTGACAATAGGGATGGTTCCTATCAGATTGCGGCACTCCCTCTTTAGCTCCTGGCTGTTGCCACAGCTGACATCTAACACTCGCACTAAACTTGGAAGGACATCTTTGGGCAGCGACTTGATGGCATCACACTGGATGATCTTCAATATTTCCAGAGAACTCGGGAGGCTGTTCGGCAGCGACTTGATGGCACCACAACGTTTCATCACCAATTCCTGCAGAGAGCTCGGAAGGCTGGGCAGCGACCTGATGGCTGAACACGCACAGATCACTAATTGCTTGAGGTTGATAAGCTTGTGTAGCCCTTCGGGGAGGCGCTGCAGCTTGTCTCCCCCACAAAATCGGATCTTCTCGAGGGATGTCAGAAGCTGAAGGGCCTTCTCTTGCTCCTCTGTCAAGCGCTCTACCTCGTCGTCGAAACAGAGCTCAAATCTGGTGAGGGTGGCAGAGAGGAGGCTGCAGATGGAAACATCAAGGACTCCTGTGTTGTTCTCTGTACTCAGATCAAAGAGCTTGGAGGAACGGGAAAAAACCTCTCTGTCATGTGGGTCTGACGGATCGGAACCGGTGAAGAAATCGGAGGTAGGAGTAGTAGTGTAGACGGTTAGTTTTGCGAGGCGGCCATGGGCTAGAAGAGGCCATACGCCCTCATCTTTTGAAGCCCCCCACATATTCAAGAATAATTCAGTGAGAGAGGTGAGGTTTGAGAGGAGTTGCAGTGTCTCCATGTACCTCACGCGGCTTAGGGTGCAGCGTTGCAGGCATGCCGGGAAAGGGAAACAAGCTGATGACGAGGATGAATAGTAAGAGAGGAACTCGTCGCAACATATAACATACAAGACGCGAAGGGAGCAGAGACTCTGGAGCCCCCCTCCCCTTACTTCTCCCGCTGCTGATTGCTGGTCGTTGTTATGCAGTGGGCCAGAGAGCAAGCTCATCTTTTTGCAATGTAAAATCTGCAACTCTTGTAGCTGGGGAGGCAAGAGCAACATTCCTTCTGCTACCGCTGCTATTATTATTTCCTCCTCTCCAACTCTTGTCTGTTGTTCCTGCTCTCCAGAAACAGTTTCTGCATCCTCTACCACACCCAACCCAGTTATATTCTCACACTCTTCTATTTTCAACTTTGAGAGGCTCGGAAGGAAAGAGAGCAGCAGCGTCAATTCTTTCCCACTAGTATCACACCTGCAGATGTCGAGTTCTTCAACTGGAAACCGGTATACGCCATGACACCGATCACCTTCTACCTGCGGCAAGATTCTGCTCACACCATCTATCTCAATCTTCTTCAGAGATGCCAGCACCTGGAAGTCATCCAGCGGCATGGGGGGCATCTTTTTCATACGCAACTCTTCTCGATCAGTCAGGTAGGAGAAATTCAACCCACTCCAGAACACGTCAGCCTGACCACCCTTTCCCTCAATTTCCAAGCTTAATTTCGATATGTATTTCCTTGGGTAAACAAGCTGCTCAAATCCTGATCCCACGCTTTCTATTTGAGCAGAGCACGGATCACCAGTCCGCCAAGGGATAGGAGGCAACGACACTAGTTTCGGGCAGTCAACAACCTCAAGCTTTCCTAGTCTAGGAAACCAGCTTATTTTCTCCTCCTGCTGTGCTTGACAACAAGTAGGAGGACATGAAAACGGCAACTCGATGAGTTCAGAGCAATTTTTAATGACGAGCACTTCCAGGTGAGAAAAATTAGGACAAGTGCCACTTCCAACCCACCTTTTCAACCTAGATATTCTACTTAATTGTAGGCTTTTCAAATTATAAAAGCTTGGAGGAGGGAAACTACAACCCTGATACTCTTCGTCAAGCTCATCAACCATCCACATTTCTTCTAGCGGTGGAAGATTCTTCCAAGATACACCATCCAGACAAAGAGATTCCAAACATTTAACCGAGAGATTAGTGCATAGCCATGCTGGGCAATTAGTGCCCCCATGCCCTCTAATGCACAGCTCTTGAAGATTGTTATGTGGTACAAGACTTTCAAGAACATATCCTTCCTTTACAGGATCCTTGTTAGTGCCCCCAACATCCCATTCTAATACGAGTTCTCGTAAGTGGTTCTTGTGTATCAGTTTTAATTCGTTTGCTTCTTCCTTTGTTTGCACCTTTTCAAGATTATAAATGCCAAGTGATCCCCCAATCTCTTTCAATTGCCCGAGCTGACTCGGTTCAAAACCTTCCCTCTCCTTACCCACTCTAAATTCGATTAACTCCTGCAAGAATTTTAGTTTTCCGACCCAATAAATATTAGAATGAAATTCATCAGGCATGTATCTTGGCGCAAGAAAATGACACATATTTACAAGGTTGCTCATATTATTTTTTTTGCAAGTTTGCTCATACGTGTAATTGTATCGAGGCATCTATACTCATTTTGTAGATCAATGATTATTAAATGATACAATCTAAACAACACACATGGTAAGAACAAATCCCCTGTCTTGACCCTCAAGTACCGCAGATGGACTAGTTTTGAGAAGTTGTGCAATATATCCTCAATGTTATATGATGCGCCGGACAAAAATATGATGCGAAGAGCTCTAGCTTCGCCAAACAAACTACCAAAAGTTTTGGCAAAGCTTCCATGGTAATATCCAAATAACATTAGAGTATGTAGGTTTTCAACTTTCAATTTACTACCAAGTGCACGCAAATTCCCATCATATTCATTGAAAGACATTTTATCCTTGACATCCTTGTTATCTACAATGATAGACACGTGACGTACAGATGGTGTATGTCCCTCACATTAGAACTGTATATGCTAAGACACTCATGCGACGAAACCTTCACTGCCAACTCATGCATTAGGTCATGGATAACATAGTCAGGACTTCCGTTTTCCTTTGTATTCATTTTGAAAAAACCATGATTGACCAAGTCATCTAAATAGCACAGTCCAACATCTTGAAGTCTATTTTTGTTCTGGTCACATGAATGTAAAATGTCTAGTCCAATCCACAAGTGAACCAACTCTTCCCTACCAAACTCATAATCTTCAGGAAACAAACCACAAAAAGAAAAACATTGTTGTAATTGGAAAGGAAGATAATCATAGCTGAGCTTTAGAGCTGACATAATATCATTGACACCCGTTTGTGATTCCCATTCTTTACTTTCCAGTACGCTTGTCCAGTGGTTCAATATAAGTTTTGTTCTTAGTAATCTACCAACAGTTCTTGCTGCAAGAGGTGAACCTTTTAGCTTGTCCACTATTTTGCTCCCAATGTCAACTAATTCTGGATTGTCAACCCATGGTTTCTGGTCACCAAATACACATTCTTCGAAGAACGCATAGTATCTTCATGACATAGGCGGTCCAACTGTAGTGAGCATTTAGTTGTCTTAACCGTGTTTGCTACCTCGGATATTCGAGTCGTGACTATAACCATGTTACCCTTTGCCCCATCTTTTTTAAATAGAGCCAATAGTTTTTTCCACTCATCTTCAGGATGTTCCCACACATCATCTAAGACAAGTAAAACCCTCTTTCCTTTTAATCTATGTTCGATGAGCTCTTCGGCACTACAATTTTTGTTTTCATTGTCAACCCAGGGGATCTTTTTCACGATATCTTTTGCCAACCTATTTGCATTAAAATCAAGAGAGACACATATCCAAATGCGAACCTGGAAATGGCTCTTCATTTGTCATATATGTGCTGTATGAAAGTTGTCTTCCCAATACCACCCGGGCAACAACTGGGAGCACCGTGAGTTCACAATGTTCACTATTATCAATTTCACCTTGGACAATCTTTTTGTGGCTATCCCTTCCATATAACTTGGGTTCTATAATTTGTGGGGTGGTTTTAGGCCTGTTCATAGCAGTGTCATGGACAGGGGTGTGGCTAGAGTTCAGTAACTCTAGATTAAGAATGTTGTAGACCTTAGCACATACAGGCTTTAACTGCTCTATGAGGTACAATATCTTTCTAGACATTTCCACCCTATCAAACTTCAATTTTGGTATTTGTAAGTATTCGTCTTTTCCGGTCATGTTGGGATTTCCCACCATGCCAGTTTGAGTGTCATGGTCAACAGACGGTACCAAGGAGAAGCAAGAGAAGTGTTTACCGACATTGTGGGCAGGTGATCGTGACGAGGATTCAATTTCATGCTGGCCACCACAAAAGCGGAGGCCTGAGAAGCATCCTTGTTTGCCGCTTTCGTCTTTCTCATCGCAGCGGTCACGCGAGCACATGGGAAACTTGAGCGTATTCACATAGGATCTGGCCGTGTGGCGTGCATTGAGGGCGAGGTCACGGACCCAGCCAGCAGCATGCGCATCGGCGGCATGGTAGGTGCCGTCGAGCTCATCCTGGATCCGGAAGTAGTCGAGCTCGTCGAGCACAACGTCTGCCCCGTAGGCCAGTTGCCGCAGCCTGTCCAGCATCTCAGCCAGGGCACGGCTGTGGATCTCCCTGCCCCGGACTCTGTCCAGCATCGCCTGAGCTTCTAGCAGCGCTAGCTTTAGGTCTTCTATGTGACAGCTGAGCTTGGTGCTGGCAGCCCACGCCTCCAGCATGCCGCCGGACAATGGGCTCAGCGCCTTGCCCACCACCCAGCTCGCCGCGGAGATACCAGCTGTCTCCATGGTTAGTTTGACACTGATGTGTAGCCACTTAGCCCGCTGTCCTGCAAAGAATCAAATAAGAACTCTATGTTATAAGCAAGGCCAGAGCATTCTGGAATCAGAGAAATATATGCTGCAACGTGACAGGACAGCTAAGTAGAGGGAACAAGATATGCAAACGTGTGTACCAGACGCGGGCCGGCCGTGCTCGCCGACGGGCACGGTACAAATGCAGTTTGGAACCAGTAACACTGGGGTGGTGGTATTGAACTGGTTGCTACTGGAAGAGGACTAACTAGAAGAAAGGTGTGAGGCGAGGAAAGTGTCAAGATGCAACGGAGCGGCCTGGGTGCAGTGAGATTAGCAGACGTGTGAGCTGTGGAGTAGAGGGGGGTGTGCGGGAGGGGAAATAAATAGAGAGAAGCGAGCGGCTTCAGATCTCCTTTGGTTTAGGGCTTCTTTGATTCAAAGGATTCTCAAAAAAAATTGGAGGATTCTAATCCTTAGGAATTTTTCCTATCTTGGTTGTTTGATTCGTAGGATTGTAAACCATAGGAATTTTTCCATAGGATTCATTTGTACTAGATTTCATAGGAACCTTTCCATCCACTCAAACCTCTTTCAAAAAATCCTACGTTTTTTCTATGCACAATCAAACACTCGTACAATCCTGTAGAATCCAAGACGACATTCCACTATAATCCCATGTTTTTCCTATTCCCGCATTTTGGAAATCCTACGAATCAAAGAGGCATGATAGGAATATCATAGAAATAGGAAAACCATAGCAAGTAAGATGACATGTATCTCAATACCTATATAGGAAAAGAGATGCCGTTTGATGCATAGGATAAGAATTTTTCCATTGAGTCTAGGCTAATGTTTTTTTCCTCTGAAATGTGAAGGATTGGTTCTATCCTACATAAGAAAAGAAATCCATTCTTATAAACCAAAGGGTTCCAAAAAAAATTCCTGCAAAATTACTATCCTTCAGAATTCCTACACAGCCTCAAGTCAAGAAAGAGTGAAGTCTCCTCCGCGGATTGGATCAAGATGCATGATGAGATGTGAATTATTGCAGCATGCGTTCCATGCATAATTGACCCATTACCAGCTGTGCTCTGACCTTAATATCACATCACCTGTCTCTCTGCTTTCATCCTGACGTAGATTTCCCACCTACCTCGTTGTCTCTCAGAATAATCAGTCACAAGTATCCAACGAAAATAGTACTGAGATGATGCCCAAGGGGTGCTTGCAGTTAAAGCATCATCAGTTGTTGTGCCCACCCCACCTCTTTCCAGCTGTCCTGAACCCTGATGGCAAAAGTACATGAACATTATCACAATACCTGAGTGGTTGTTTTCCGTGAATGGTGTAGTGTGCGAGTAATAATTGGACGGCAACAAGCAGACCTCAACCAAATCAGCATACTCTCCACTTCTTTTTCATCCATAACACAACTGGCACGAGCGTGATGATGCAAACGGTTCTTCCACAAAACACTGAACTTGCACAAGATTAGCTCGGATGTCATAATGCATCTACCTTATTCAACAACACTGATGGAAGGGTCAGTTCCTCCAGCTGGTTAGCACTGAATGGTCTTCAGGATGAGATTTCAGACATAATATAATGGTGGCAGTGAAGCTGAAACCCTTCACATGTGTCTTTAATAACACTTCAAAAAAGCTTTGGCTGAAAGCATGTCCTTTCACACTTTACTGAAGCTTTGATCAAGTGAAATTCAAGTAAACTCAGCACACATACACAACACCGTCAGTGTGTACCCCTTTGGTGTTTTTGACTTCTCCACTTATTGTTCTGCAGAGCACACATAACAGATAGACTTTTTAGTCTCCAAAGGAAACTCCCATTGAGCATTATTAGCTTTTCACGTAACAGGTAAAAGACACAACAAGATAGTATGTAGGGTGAAAAAATATGGCTGTGTGCATGCATGATGTAGAGGCCAAGGTTTTTCCCTTTCCAGAAAAAAAATGTAGGGGTGAAAATGAAATGAAGCAGCTAGAATTTGTTCTAGATGTTCAGATTTTTCGTTGTCAGTTCCTGCTCTGCGGCGAAATCCCGCACAGTGAGGCTGATTGGTTTGATGCATATATTGGCATGCCAATGTGTTGGCAAGTCTAAAAATTGACTACCAGTTCATTGGCTACCAATTTTTTTGCCAATCTCTAGAAAAGTTGCCAAATGTTGGCCCACCAATTTATCTCACCAGGCAGTAACATTGCATGATGAGATGTGAATCATTGCTGGAACAGACCACCAATTCATGTCTGGCCCTCTCCAGCTGTGCTGCTGACTAACCATAAACATCACACTGATCGATCACATGTCCCTGCCTTATCCTGGGACGGGCTGTACATCTCCTGCCTCCCTCGTGGTATCTCAGGACAGTCACTCATCATAAGTATCCAACAACCATAGTACAACCGAGGTCATGAGCAAAGCATCATCGTGGCCTGTGGGAAATGCATGAACCTTGTCACAGTACCTGCATCAACAGATTGGCTGATTTCAGTGAATGGTGTGGCGTGCCGTGTGCCGGCGTTCAGTAGGCTTCAAGAGCTGAACCAAAACATCCTCCTTACCTGAACCATGTCACAACTATGGTGCCACTACAACCAGATGTGATCATTTCTGCAGTGTCTCTGAGGCTAAGGCGGCAACCTTGTTCAAGAACGCTGGACCCCGGACTGAATTACAGGGATCACAAAATGCATTGCTTTGCCAACGTTAGGCACAACTGGAGCAACGACAAGGCCAA